TGATACATTTTTGATTTGTTCCCACTTTGTAGAAGTAGATCATTCTTTTTCTCTCTTTCTTTTTTCCTTTTTTTGGCCTGAATTTATAGAAGGAACCAAGATGACAGCCAAGTTATTGCAAAATAAGATTAGAAACATGAAGAACACAATTCTGCTTATGAGTTCAATGCTTCATGATGTAGCTTTTCAGAGGTGATATCTCATTAACTGTTGTTTTGCCATTAGGCGTTTATGAGGATTGCACAAATCTTGAAATATAATTTAAAATGGTTTTTGGAAGAGTGTTATAGTTGAAGATTTTGGTTAAAAAATGGCTCACTTATCAAGGCTGTAATTGAGTCAGCAGCATTTCAAGCAACAAAATGCCGTTCTGGGGGTGGTTCTTACATTTTTGCTTATTTTGGGGAAGTCTGATGATGCATTACTCAAAGGACAACTTGATTTTTTAATAGCTCCCGAAAGAATTAAGATCACAGGATTTAGAAGTGTAAAAGACCTAGGAAATCATCAGTAGTAAAGGGAAAAGTGCCTTGCAACAGTTAGTTCTATAACAATCGAGTTCAACATGATTGACGGCATTAGCAGCTTAATTTGGAAGTCAGCTGTTCATATTAAGAAAGTTGGTACATTTCCAGTGCACATCAACAGTCTTCAAGATAAGGAACATTTTATTATTAGTACTGCTAAGATGTTCCAGAGGAGAGCTTTAATACAGTAATGGAATTCTGGGAAGAAATAGAATTTCAGTTTTTGTAGATTTTACCAAACAAATATAAGTCAATTTAGTTTGGTGCAAGGCACTGTGCTGGGAGCTGGGATACAGACATAAAGAATGATATAATCTCTGCTGTCTAGGGACTTAAATTCCATTGGGCAGGAGGGGAATGTGGCATTTACATAGATAAGTATGTTGTGATAGGGGCAGATGGAGAAAACACTTTTGAAGTGAAGGGATGAGGAAAAGCTTTATGACGGAAGTGTCAGTGGAGTTGAGCCTTTGAAAGAAGGGAGGAGGATTCTGCAAGGCATAGATGAGCAGGGAGTCTATTCCAAGGATGGAGGATGCTGAGAAAGAGCGACATCCAGTAATCCATTTTGCTTAAAGCAGGTGAAGGGGAGGAATTAGACATAAAAAGTAGGTCAAAACCAGATAAAAGGGAACCAGAATGGAGAGACTAGAGTTAGGGAAAGATCAGTTTGGTTTTGAACTAACATATTGCCTTTGAGGTCCCAGAGGAATAGCCAGTTAGAGATATTAACAGGCAGCTGGAAATGTAGGGGCTGGAACTCAAGAGGGATTAGAGTAGAATATATAGATTGGGGAGCTAATTGCCAAAGTGTAATAACTGAACCCATAGATGTGGGTAAGATTGCGAAGGGAGAGATTATAGAGAAAGGAGAAAGAGAGCCTGGGGGATACTTTCACTTAAGAGACCAGATGATGATGGTGAATCATCACTAAAGATCCAGGAAGACCTTTCAAGTAGAAGGAGAACCATGGGAGATCAGGGTCATGTAAACTAAGAAGCAAAAGAATATTCAGAAGAAGGGAGTATTGTAGTTACACTGCATGCTGCAGAAAGATCAGGGTGAATGAGGAATAAGAAAAGCCCTATTCAGTTAAGTCACTGTGGAGAATTTAGGATGAGGAAGTGAGTGGGGGAAGAGGAAAGCCAGAGCATCATGATCAGAGTGGTGGATCTGAGTTCAAGATCTTTGCGGTAGAGAATTTTTGAGTGATATAATGTATAACATTGGTATTTGAGTGCATGTGGAGGTCCTGCAAGTTGAGAAGGACATTGAACTCAGAAACCAAGGTGTTAGGTGGGCCATTAATGTGAATATTGAAGTTACTGAAGGTAAATGCAGGGTTTGAGTGGAGAGGAAGACTGTGAACTGAACTCATTTAGGAAGAAGGGAGAGTGCTGTGGAGATTGGTAGATGACTGTCCTAGTGATGGAGACATGTGTAGGTGATGAGACAGGTGATCCACCAGTCTGGTGGTGTTAACATTGGAGGATAGATTTTTGAGTAACTGTGCCACAGAGGATAGAAGTGACAGTGTTTTAGGAGTATGTCTCTATTTCTTCATGGCCTTGTATGTGGAATGGGGTGGCAAAGGATGGACTTTGTTTTTTTAGGAGAAAATCAAGTTTCACCAAGTGCCAGAAGTTGAAAGGAAATGTGAGAGGAAGAAATCTAAGAGTAGAGGGATTTTGTGAATCAAAGTGCATGTTCAATAGGGTGTCATGGAAGGGGAGACTGGGCACTAGGGATGGATTCGAGAATGTGGGTGGAGGTTAGGAGGTAAGTATCCATTCTGAAATATAGGAATTAGAAGAGCAGGTTGAGACTTGTTAACCATGATATCAGAAATACCAAGTAGGGAGAAGTCTGTAGATAAAATGGATCCCAAGGTTCTAACTAGAATATTTATGTGAAAGGGCTTTTCTGAGTTAGCTGTCCAGGTAGCTCCTTTTGTTGATTGTAGGGGGGGAGGATCCAAGCCCATTTTTAGTAAAAATTATGTAATATCTGTTTAGCTGTGGGAACATTAAGCACGAAAGGACATTTCTACTCAACAAATGCTACATGTCTGCTGTATACCCCTAAGATAAATGAGTGCTGAAGATACAACAAAGGAAAAAGCCCTATAGTTTTTGCCATTGGATCACAGATCAAGAGCTCAATGTCACTTCAGAGGCCATTTGTTGAATGCCTTGTTTTACAGGAGTTTGTAAACCAGAGATTAGAGGACCATGCACTTAGAATTAGAACGGAGCTTAGAGGGTAACTGTCTACCCAGTTCATTTTATAGAGGAGGAACTTAGAGCCAAAGAGGTTGTGTCTTTTCCATCATCTTCCTCCTTCTCCCCCTCCTCCTTCTCCCCTTCCTCCTTCTCCTCTCCTTACTCTTCCTCTTCTCCTTCCTCCTTCTCCCTTCCTCCTCCTCCTCCTCCCCTCCTCCTCCTCTCCTTCCTCCTCCTCCCTCCCCTTCTTCCCCTTCTCTTCCCCTCCTCCCCATCCTTCTCACCTCTCCCCCTCCTCTCTTCCTCCTCCCCTTCCTCCTTCTCTTCTTCCTCTTCCTCCTCCTCTTGTTCTTTCCCCTATTCCTCTTCCTTCTCCTTTTCCTCACCAACATTTATATAGTGTCTTTAATGAGCTAGTGCTGTGCTAAGCACTTTACAAGGTCTCATTTCATCCCCACAACAACTCTGAGAGAGGTAGGGGCTCTTATCATCCCCATTTTACATTTGAGGAAGCTGAGGCAAACAGAAGTCAAATGACTTGTTCATACAGGTAAATGTGGCAGAATCCACATTTGAACCAGGTCCTCTGAGTCTGGATCTTTTTTTTTTTATTATACAACACTGTCTTCTATGTATTTATCTCATTTAAATTTTATATCTGACCAGTTGAAGACTGTAGAAAAATACAGAGACATATATAAAGTAATACAAGTCAAAAAATAAAAACTAGAAATAATGTACACATATTGACTCTAACTCTGTAAGATTTTGTTTTGTTTTGATGGGTTTGTCTTCCAATCGGTTCCTGTAATTTTGATAATAAGAGGTCATCTCAGAAGACTCCAATAGGCCAATGCTACAGAAAACAGTGGGTCTTTATCATTGCTTATTTTAACTCATAGGAAGGAAGACCCAAAGCCTAAAATGAGACACTGGGGGTTGGGGGTGTTGCCAGAGTTTTGGAAGAGGTAGAAGGGTGATTGTGGCTTACCAGAGAGACTGTTTTCAGACTTGGTGCACGTAGCTTCATCAGTGCTCTGTCACTCACAGTCAGCGTGTCGCATTTTTTCATATGACATCCTGTCTATAAAACTCTTCTCAGTAGTTTGTTGAACTTATTTTACAGATTCTTAAATAGTTTTGACATCTGTTATCTGTGTTGCTAAATTAAATGGTTAAGTACTTGTAGCTTTTATAGTTGATGGTAATAGAAACCAGAGTGAATTAATGACCTTGATGAGGTCTTTTGGTCTCATCAAGTAAGGTCTCTGTTTTCTTGCTTCGAACATGGTAGGTGCACAATAAATATTGGATTGGTTTTAATTTGGTAATTCAGAATTTTGTTCCACTGCATGTTTCTGCTCCATGATAATTTGGAAGGACTTGACCATTTTGTTAATGTTTGGGTCAATACTAAACACGTAGAGACACATTTTAAATTCAGTTTTTGATTCAGGTTGTTATTTTGAAATAAAACAATCTTCACAGAAAGCTTTAACCTAAAATAACCTAAAATAAAGATGGAATTTTTCTCCCATTCTAGTTCACAGCCTCCCAGAAGTCTATATCTATGGGTCCGTAAGGGTGTGTGAACTCCAGGTTAAGAACCCCTCCTGTAGTGAAGCCTTGGGTCTTTTTTCCTCATCTGTAAAAATTAGGATGTTGGATTAGATCATTTTAAACAGCCTTTTCAGCTCAGCTAGGTAGCATTATGGATAAAGTGTTAGATTTGGAGTCAGGAAGACCTGAGTTCAAATGTGGCCTCTTTTCTAGCTGTGTACCCATTGCAAGTCACTTAACCTCTATCTGTCTCAGTTTCCCCACCTGTAAAATGATAATAATAATAATAGCATCTATCTTCCATGGTTATTGTGAGAATAAGATGAGATGATATTTATAAGGTGCTTTTCAAACCTTAAAGTACTATATAAATGTTAGCTAATAATAATTATAATAAAAGTAGTGATGATAAAATCCTGTGATATTATGACAAATAAATTGAGTCTTGCCTAATGTCACATAGCTATTAAGTGGCAGAACCAGGCAGAACTGGCTTAATGCCTTTCTCAAATTATGCATTTTAAGAGGTAAACTTTTTTTTTCTTTCAGTGTATTGGGGCTACTTAAGCTGAACTACACATCAGATATTCTGTGCCCCTCCTTGATTGAGCTCTTTTGAACAAACTGTTGAATGTGTTTTTGTATTTACTTGATGTTTCTAATATTGAGAAACACTTGATGTATTTTCAGTCGGAGGGAAGAGCCCATGCCAGTGCTGGGGATGCCATCTATGAAGTAGTGACGCTGCAGAGGGCGTCTGAGAAGGAAGAGCCAGTCACTCCAACCAGTGCTGGGGGTCCAGTGTCGTCCCAGGAGGATGAGCCAGAAGAAGGTAAGCACAGAAGGATTCTATTAGAGCAGCACGTGCAGGGAGTGGAGATTGATTTGTTGTCTTTTTTCTTCTGAGCTGTCATGGGCTGGGATCCACTGCACATCATCGATGCAGGAGCAAATCACTTCACTTCTCAGTTGCTCATTACGTCAGGTTAGACTAGGCAGTTGTTTAAATATTTGGCGGTGTCATTTGGCTGTTTCTGCTGCTTGTTACATGTCATTGAAAAAGTAATTGAAGTGACAGATAAAGTTCAGTTTAAACAATTCTCTGAAGTGTTTTTAGAAGTGACATATGCATATCTTTGAATTGGCTATTATCTGAGTTTGATTTTCCTTGGTACTGATCTCAAAAGCTTCACACTAGCATCATTGGCTACTCGCTTTTTATAGTCTTGATATCTGTCCCATTCAAGAAACATATTGACAGTGTTGGAGAAATACCAGCATAGTCTTCCTCTCTGCACAACCTTTGGGATGGTGCCCTGTACTCTTTGAAGTATACTGGATACCAGTAATAACTTTGAATCATTTTTTTTTAGATCAGGATTAAAAATAGTTTCTTCATTTTTAAATTTCCTTTCCTGACCTTCTGTATGGTCTTGATTGGACATAACATTTTCGGATTCTCATGGCATTTTTCTTTGTGAAATTGCTGCCTTCTTTAACTTGTTTTTAAACAAAATGACTAGAAACTGAGTAAATCTTTATGCCAACTACAAATTTCTTACAGAATAAGCCTTAGTAATTCAGTGATTGGCACTAAATTCTGTGCTCCTTCTTTTTGAGTAATTTATGTTTTCTATCTTGAACCTTGGTGCTATGGAACATTTGAATTTGAATGAAAAGCAAGTCAATGAAGAATCCCACCATGATTATTTTATGTTGTGTAGAAAACACTTAATAGATACTTGTAATGTGTGTGTATAAAATATACACACAAATACATACAAATATATGCATATCAAATAATAGAAGTGTTAGTCAGTAAACATTTATTAAGTATTCATTATGTACCAGACATGTTGCTAAGCATCGGAGATGCAAAGAAAGACAAAAAATAATCTCTGCTCTCAAGGAGTTCACAGTCCATGTCTTAAATGCCTTGTCTGAGGCCTTTGTCATGTTGTCTAATCTTTGCTCATTCTCTTTTTCCTCCTCACACCCTCTCCTTTCCTTCTCTCTCACATCCACTTCTTTCCATACCCTTCTTTTTTCTCCTCTTTCCTTCTATTTCTCCCTCTGATCATTAATAGAAAATAGCTATTGCTATTTTCAACGTGTTTATTAGAAAATATGAATATTAACTTCTTGGTGTGATTCTGAGTAATATTAAAAAAACAATTCAATATTATGAACTAAAGTGTTTTAAAAGCAAAAAGAAAATAGTCATTTTAGCCTAATGGAAGTTTTAGTGCTCCAGTTAAAAATAATTCAAAATATTTCCTCTGGCATTTCCCCCCTTTATTTCTTGACTGTGGATTCATGGAAATTATACCTTAAAATTTTTTGCCTACTGATTATTCAAGGCCAAATTATTTCTTTTATGGATTATCTATGTCTTTGGCTACTTAGTCCTTATATTACTTGACTTTTGGTCATTTCAGTACTTGTTAACTTTTCTAGGAGTAAAGAAGAAAGGAAACTTGATTGTCTTTTATTTCTTTCAGCTAGTGAAAGATTTGGTGGGGAGGTAACCATTGTATCTTTCACTCTTTTGCTTTTCTGGAAATATGCATTTTATTAGGGTGATATAAATAATCATCACTAAAAGTACCCATAGGTTATGTTATAAGCATATTTGAGCCACAAGGAATTTCCTTTTCAATTTGTAGATAGAGGAAGAGTTCATGACCAACTGAAGGATAGAGAAGATCAAGGAAGATAAAATGGGTAGTTTTGATTACATAAAATTAAAAAATGTTTTCACAGATGAACTCAATGAAACTAAAATTAGAAGAGTCACAGTTAGTTGGGGGAAAAAAATCTGTCACAAGTTAACTGTGATAAGTCTTGTTACCAAGATCAGTGTTTAATTCTTAAAGATGAACAGAAATGATGATGATGATGGTGATGGTGATGACAATTGCACACATTTATTTAGTACTTTAAGGTTTTTAGTGTGCTTTATATGTATTCTCTCATTTGACCCTCCCAGTAACCCTGTAGCTTAGGGTTTATTATTATCATCCTTACTTTATTAGGACAGTTCAGTGGTTGGATAGAGTACAGGCCTGGAGTCAGGAAGACTCATCTTCCTGAGTTCAAATTTGGCCTCAAGCATTTACTAGCTGTGTGACTTTGGCCAAGTCACTTTACCCTGTTTGCCTTATTTTCCTCATCTGTCAAATAAATTGGAGAAAGAAATGGCAAATCACTCCAATATCTTTGCAAAGAAAATCCCAAATGGGGCCACAGAGAGTCAGACACAACTGAACAACAACAACATAACCTAATTTCATTAGTGAAGAAACTCACAGAAAATGTAGGTGACTTGCTTCGAGTCACATAGCTAGCAAGATGTCTCAGGCAAGATTCAAACCTGTGTCTTTCAAATCCACCACTTTGTTCATTATGCTGTATTGGCTCTTTAAAACCATTTTCGGGGAGTACACCATTTCCTTAAGTTGATGTTTACTTAAAACTGATTATAGTAGACTGACAGAGGATTGTTTTTGTAGCAACTGTATATATGTTGAAAGATGTCATCCAGCCTTCAGAGTAATTAATGTGGCATGAATCAGTGAGAGAAGAAATTTATTTTGTTTATTATTCATTGCCTGGAAACTGATCTCAATGCAGTTGTATAGAAACTGCTATTGAGTTTGATCTTTGTTAGCATACACTCTTAAATAGCAGACTGATTATTGGACAATCAAGATAACAACAACAATAATAACATTAGTAATATCCACTTTATATAGTGCCTACCCCGTGCCAGGCGCTGTGCTAAGTGCTTTACAAGTATTATCTCATTTGATCCTCACAACAACCTCAGGAGGTAGGTGCTATTATTATCTTCTTTTTATAGTTGAGGAAACCGAGTCAGACACAGGTACAGTGACTTACCCAAGGTCACACAATTAGTAAATGCTTGAGGATACATTCAAACTCAGGTCTTCCTGTTTCCAGGCCCAGTGTTCCATCCACTGCACTACCTAGCTGCCTAGATTACATGCCCAAGATTATAAACTATACAAACTATTTGTGGCAGATTAAACCTCCCTTTCTCTTGTTCCTTTTCTCTTTAATTGTACAAAATATTTGTGTACTGGAACATTTATTGAAAATCAGTTTCTTTTTGAGGGCAAAGGAGAAAGGGCTTTGTAAAAAAAAAAAAGGAATTTTAGATGTTGAAAGCTTTTTCCCACATAATTTTGCATGCTATGGTTCCAGAACCTCATGGCTTTTGTAACAGGCCATCTGTTTTGTGCTGGAGTTGAGGCCTTTCTACTTTCTTCTCAAGAATTCTTTTGCTTCTTTGAAGTTAATAATAGGGTGACTGGTATGTAAATATATTTTCATAAGGTAGACTTGGTGAAAAATTGATTTCCTGCCACATCGAGTCCTAGAACCCTTGGACTTGTAAAGCTTGTCCTGTAAGTAATTGATTTTTGAAAACCTGCTTTTCTGCTGTGCTTAATCCTGCACCAAGAAAATCTAGTGATGATTATTGGTCTAATTATGGACCCAGGCCTATCCCATTGTTTTTTCCCCAGCCTCCATATAATAGAGCAAGCTTTTTTCTCTTTTCTTGTTCAGGCCTATTCTCTAGGCCCCTCCCCTCCCCCCAGTGATACTTGCCCACTCTGCCTCCCTCCAGTCGATGAGTAGGCTTTCTCTGCTGCTTTTATTTTCCTTTTACTTCTCCATACTATCTAGTCCTCCCTCTTGGCTTTGTTTTCAGAAGCTGGCTGTGGTTTGACTTGCTGAGCTACCTCTATGCAAGGAGGTATAATTACAGCTGGGCATAGATGGGCCCAAGTCTCTAGCTAGTCACCAAGTCACTAGCTAGTGAGGCTATATTCAGGCTGTACCTATGACTTTGCTGCTATCCACTTGACTAGTTAGATGTCCAGCAGATCAAATCCCATTCCTGCCCAGCATTCGTCACAGCCCTAGAGAACATAGGCTAGGAGATCTGAATTCAGGGGTTGGGGAAATGGGCTTCCTAGATCACAGATTCAGAGCTGGATAGGACCTTCATAGCTCACAATGTGCAAGGTGAGGCTCAGAAAGATACATATCCCAGAAGCATGTAGAACCTGTTTAGGCAAAGTGAATTGCCTTTGATTCAATATCCAACCAGTATTTGCTTTGCTATTATGTGAAAGCCACTGGGCTGCCTTTGCATTGGTATTACAAAACTAAAAGATGGCAACCCATGCTCTTTAGGAGTTTGAAAGCTCCGTCCTGAGTAAATCTGTACCATGCCCATTTCAAAAAGCAAGAAGAATGGAGTCAAAGGGTAGGTAATTTGGATGTATTCACACTGGAGGTCAGCACAAGCCTTAAGACTAACACGTAGGAAGAATCATTTCTGTCCCTATAGTTGCCCTTCCCACTTCCCTTTTCTGCTTCCTTCTTTTCTGTTTTACCTCTGTATCCCTAAAAAAAATTTTGTAGTGACTTCAGTCTTTGGAGGATATCAAGGAAAAGCAAGGAAAACTGAAATTTCTAGAATTTATTGCAAAATGCTGAAAACAAGAAGTTCTCATTCTGTGAATGCGTGCAGTCAATAAGAACAAGTAACCCAAGTTGTCTGTTTTTGTGCAAATTTTTCTCTCATTCTTAACAACAGATTTTGGTTCTGTCACTACCCAAAATGTCAGCTTATCTTTTGAAAAATCTATTAGCCATCACCTATATGAAAGGTACAAAAATCACAGAGTAGTGCTTAAGAGTTACTTTTCTTTTATAGATCAGGCTTTCATACGTTTTCAATACATTTTATTATTAGTTCTGTAATTGATGTTTCTGTCAACTCAGACATCAAAAGTC